GGGAAAGAAAAACATTTTGAGTAGAGTGAATGTCTTTCCAGTGAACTAAACACAGTAACCCCCGTCCAGCCAGGCCATGGCCTGGAGCTTACGATCCTGAAATCTGTCCATTGGACAGCCGTATCTTTCTGTAAGCAAGGAAATTATCAACCCCTGCTTGAAGAAAGTCAAAGCTCAAGATTGAAACTCCAACAACTAGAGCAGTTTCAACTAAGATTGCTTTGACACTAAGTTGCAAGTTTCCATACAGAAGGGCAAACGACTTACACATTGATAAAACTGTCCTCTTTTGCCACCTGCATAAAATTTCCTTCCATCAGGGTTCCAGCTACAGCAAGTTAGACTATCATCTGCAGCTTGGGTCATTCGACATTTCAGTTCTCCTGTCTGACAGAGCCAGTAGCAAATCACGAACAAATCTTATCACACGTTTCAAAATTATTTTATGTAAATATACTTGTCAGTAACTTTGAAGAGAAAACCCTAAATTTAAAATTTCTTAAGCCAAACCAAAAAGTACACATACGACCTGTCTATTAATTTACATGTACCATTCACATAAAGATTCACCTTCTTTAAACACTTCTCTGTACAAAGTTAAGAAAAGCAAAATAAGCTTTGAAATGATCTTGTCAAAGAGTTGGTGTGGTGCCATTGTGGTGACACTGTCAATCATACAAATGAAAAGAAGAAGAAATGGAGAGCATGGGAATGGGAAGGTACAGTGGTTGAGAAGTTCTCACTTCCTATACCCTGCTTTTCATCTTCCTGCAAGTCTGCCCATTATCTTCCTTTCATTATTTCAGAACATTGCAAAATTGAGAAAAAGAAATACCTAAACTTTTGCCTTTGGCCAACTTCTTCTTAAATTCACTATTCTAGCCAGTTCCTACCCCTTTTCCTTAGCACATTCTTATCAAGTAGCAAGCACATCAATTTTTTGCAAATAAAGCATTTGCCCACAAAGATAAATTAATTGTTAGTCTGTTAACCAATGCCACCAGCCTCACAACTGAAACAGTGGGTGACCAAAGCATACCTCTGTATTCCAGATCCATAGTTCAGAGCAGTCATCTGGACCACAAGCAATGATATAAGTATCATCAGGACTCCATGCCAATTCTCCAACTCCAAATGAAGGACCTTCAAATGCTCTAAGATTTGTGGGTTCACCATTCTGAACAACAGAAAAAGAGATATACAATGTCGTAATAATCAAAGATTAGTAACTGATATGTAAGTAATAACATCTAACAATTTAAAAAACAATATGAATACCAATGTTAAAATTGAACACTGAGTTGAAAAAAAAAATTTTTAAAAACCATAACCTAAAGGCTAGTTAATTGTTTGTTTCCTCTCCCTCTCTCCCTCAATATTATAAATATTTGAGAGTTAACTTATAACATTATAGCTTAAGCTATAAACACATGAGACATATTACAGGCATCACGAGAAATTTTTATTGATTGCAACACATTCCAAACCAACATAATTTTGCTGATAATAAACAGTAGGCAAGAATCTAAGAAGGAGAGCTTGTCTCTTTACCGATACATCCCAGATAATGACAGTGCCGTCTTTTGATCCAGAAGCAAGTTTTGTTCCATCATGAGAAAACTTAAGAAACCAAACCTGTAGTGACAAGACAGTTTTAATATTAAAAATTTGAAAATCAACTTTCCACCAATTTATATTTCCAAATGCTCTTTATTTCTTCATCATAATGTAAAATGGTTTATAGTAATAACTGTTGTTTTCCAAGAATTTCTAGCCCCAAGAAAAGCTATAACTGCATGCATGTAAAATTACATTAATTTTTTTATTGTGCTTGAGGTCACCAATCAGCTGCTGACACATCACTCCCCTTTCAATAAATGGCAAAGCATCCACCATTCATGATCTGAGTTATAGTTCATTTTCTCATCAGTAAACTAAAGGCCTGTAATAGTTACATAATAGACAAAATAATTCAAGCTTGCTTGCATGATATAAAATTTCTATTTGTAAGTTATATTTCAATTGTTCACTACACCTATTAGTGGGATACCTAGTTTAACACTAAAAGAGTTAGTGCACCCATGTGTCATTCTCTATGGAAAAAAGACTCAAGGGTGTCTTTTGCACATGTAGAAGTCCAGCTAGAAGATACATGTATGAAGTAATGTTATGCTTCTCTCACTGTATTATTTACAATTGCACAATTTCCCCAGATACATAAACTATGCTTCCACTAAAAAATTTTGGGTTCTTGACACCTTACTAAAAAAAATAGCCAAATTACCTCGTCACTGTGTTCTGTTAATATGTATTTTGTTTCACATGGGAGGACATTCCTATGAAGGAAAGGATATTTAGCAATGAAAACTGAGAAAGTTATAATAAACAAAAAACATTGTGAGAATTTATAAGAACCAGATTCAAGATGCATGAGACCACATGAAAACAATTCTTTTCACTATATTCAATGTGCATGTAAATGTGCTTTGAATTTAAGTTTCAAGTAGAATGTAAAGGATACCATTGGCTTGTTTGTCTATAAAATGTAGTTTACCATTCAAGCAGCTACAAATAACATTTATTTAATAGGTGTATACCACAAAAGGGAATAGTGCTTTTTAGCTCCCACTGATCGGCTTGTTAGGAGGTGAATAGCAAATACTATTCACCTCCTGGTGGCCAAGGAAACAAAATTGCATGTCAAAAGTTTAATTTCTTACCATTTTTCAGTATATTGCTAGGAATGCACTTACTTTTGGTTTCTGAGTGGTCTATACTAAATCAGTCTCTGTGTGGTATATACTTATCCTTCACTTTGGTGAATACATGTAATTTTTAATTATGCAAAAAAGATAAACAGTGTACACAGTACTCTAAAAGCAAAGAATGACCTCTTCCACCAAAACTGTAGCTAGTATATTTAAGGTGCTCATCATTCTCTTTCTCATTGGTGGAGAGAGAATGATACCAGAAAAATAAAATAAAAGTTTCCTTGTATTCTTAAAATGTAAGTTTCAATTCTTGAGTTTTGTCTTGGGAATGGAAAACTGAAAAGGGTAGCCCACCAAGCATCAGATTAACAAATAGATGTCATGTTCCCCTGCATCTATTTAGTATACAGTTGAGTGTGTCTTCATTATCTATTACTGTACAGATCCACAGCAACATGGAGTCTATTTGTTTTATATAATGGTAAGCTGTTGTTAATATTGAGCTCCTCTGTGCATCTGTCCTCCAATAGATCATTAGTAAGAATCAGTCAAAATCTGTGCAAAATTCAGCTTATCAAACAATTTTTCCATTTGTGATTAGCGCAGATGTGCCAAAAGCAAACAGCATCAATTTTAATGACTTCAGCTGTTTGTGCCTTGCCAGTCTCTAGAGGGGTAGATTAGAAACTTGACAATCTGGACAGGGAAATCAACCAGGTGGGGCTTATCAGAAAGGGAAGGCCTATTAAAACTCAACAAAGGCCAACATTCTTCTAAATTACAACTTAGATTCAGTGAATACAATGGGAATATTTCTTACTACAATATAAGGAGGGTGTCATTTATAATAAATTTGAACTCCTCAAAAGAGAGGGGAAGGACAACTAATCAAAGAGGAAGACTTATCAGAGCATTCATGGTAATTAAGTAACAGTGTACTTCATTTGCAACTTACACCTTTGAGCCTTACCTTGAACATAGATGATCACTCAGTAGAGAAAATGAATGCAGTCCAAGTTCAAGTTTTGTATTATGATATGGACATTTTTCTTTTTGCAGTTCAACTGCTTGATTTAATAATGTTCTAAGTCTATGTGGTGGAAGCATCACAGATGCTGGTAAAAATGCTGAAGATAAAAATAACACATAACACTATCAGTAAACACAGTGTGAAAAAAGCAGACAGCAGTAAGAAGTATTAAAAGCTGCAGTAGACCAACTATAACTGCAAATATTATTGAAAACCCTGCTACACATAAAGGCTTTCTGGCATTTAACTTCTTAAGCAGCATGTACTGTACATCAACTGTTCAATCCTTCTTTCCTATCCTAGCTTAACATTTTCCTCATATACTGATATTCAATATCAGTATAGAGATTGCTTCAGACAACACTGGTCCTTGCTTTAAACATCAAGGAAATCTCTGTAGCTCAGAATTTTTTCTTAAAACCACACTTTTACTAAATAAAGTCATATTTTTTGTACCATCTATACAACATGGTACAAATGTTTCCTTGCTTTGAATCTTTTAAACGAGTATCATTTTTCATTTTTATAAATCATCAAAGACAAAGATAAAAGTAGTTTGAAAATTCTTAAATAAAAAAAAAATTTGAACCACAAGGTATAAATTAAAAGATTTTTAGAAATTTGTATCATGTATAATGCATCAAAAACATGCAATTTTTCTTCATGGTGCTGTCAGTAATGACATATTTTGTAGTTATACTGTAATTTACAATATTCGAAAAGGGCAAGACTAAAAATAAACCACATATATATGTTACTTTTTCAATAAGATTTCTAAAATCGCAAAAATCAACCAAAGAGATATAAAATTGGAGCCTTAAAAATGATGATGAAAGTCAACATTGCAAATGAAAAAAAGAAAAAGATTCTTGGAGGTGCCCGGCAACCAGATACAACACACATTAGTTTGACCATGAAGGAAAAATTGATTATTTCTGACCATTGCAACAAAAGAGTTTTAAGAAATGTAGCTAAAGCTGTTCAGCTTGAATTCATAGAGGATCAACTTACATTGAAGCCTATCCATCAGCTTGTGTCTTGAGAGGTATCCTTTTCCATTCCATTCAGCTTTTTTATGAAGTTCCTCCTTTGTTGTATACATTACTAATCTAAAAGAAATCATTTCTAGCTGTAAATTCAGGACTTTTAGGGACTTTCTAGGTCATCAAACTGTCCCAAATCCACAACCAATAGAATTATAGAGATTACAAACTTAACAGGTATAGTGTTTCAAAGTACATGTAAGGTTTTTACAGTTCTAAGAGTGATGCTTATTTCCCTCAAATCACTTTGAATAATGCAAAGTTGGTGTCGATGACTAAATGACAGTAGTTCTGTTTAATAGTAGAAGATTATAGGTATGGGATATCACACAGACCTCTTGAGGTTAAAAATAAGTCTCAGAGCAAACGAGTTCAAACTACAGCCGTGGTTTAAAGAGTATCTTATTCTTAAGATCAAGAAGGAAACTAATCCAAATAGATCAAAATATGTTTCCAACTGAACTTTTTTTTGAAGCTTAATTATAACATCACCACTGCACTATATCTATACCTGCTTACATGTACAACTCTTAAAGTATATGAAAATCCAGATAGGAATATCAAGGAAAAAGGCTCAAGTTATGTCTAATAAAACCAGTGATAAAATTACCCTACTTAAGTGTTGTGCTTACTTGGAAAATCCAAGCAGAATTTGACAAGATCAAGTTAAATGGAATTCAGAGAGCCTTTTTTCTTGTATTACTTTAACAACATCTCTTACAATTTTCTATTACATCAACAGGATAGTTGAACAAATAACTCTTGCCTTTCTGATTAAAACACCACATAATTTCCTCTTTCACCCACAGAAATCAATACGAATAAATATAATTTCCTTTCGCAGAACAAAAAATTGTCAGAGCACCCAAAAAATATTAGAAAACTTTATGAATTATTGTTGTACTAATTCAATCATGCATCCTACACAGTGACTTTCTAATATATCAAGGTTAGAGATTAGATAAATGCTAAAATAACACAAACAGCAATAATTTGACCAAAATGAAAGTTGATGTACTTTGATTAAGTCGTTATGAGACTAAACAAGTGATTTATACAATATTTGCTTCCAAAGATGATGAATGGCTGTAGATTACAAAATTATTAGATTGAGATGTTATTTCCCACAAAATCAAAAGACAGCAACTTGAGAAGAAATAACAAGTTTTCAAGAATTTTTTTCTACACCAGGTCACTTTTGAGAAACCCACTGATTGGGAAATTAAATATTAAAATAAAGAATAGAAAATTAACAAGGAACCATATGTTAAAGTTACATTTAAAACTACAAACTCAGGCATCCTGGAAGTCTTCATGTAAATATCATCACCAACTATGCCCTTTGTATTTTGCCTGTCTGATTACCATTTGAAGGTAAACAAGGGGCTGGCAAATGCTTCATTCAAATAACTTTATTCAAATAGCTTGATATCTAACATGGTAAGCCATAAAAAACCAGAGGGAAGCCATATATGTAAATTTATTTCGTGGCTTTGTAGCGAAATAAAACACTTACCCACTAAGCTGATGAACCCTCTCTCTGTTACATTTTAAAGGAGTTAGTTCTGTTCTTAAACAATACACGGCCTCTATACGGTTCTCTTCTTCGAGGAATTCTAAGAACTTCTGCTCCAACAGGCAAAACCTCATTTTCTTTGAAAGAGTACATAACGCACACATTAAAAAAAAAAGATGCAATATTTAAAGGCAAAACAAATTACACCAGTTCAAAATCTTAACTCCAAATCCTGCCTCTAATACAGGAAAAACGAGGAGAACAAGATTAACTCGAGAACATGAATTAAATTTCATGTAATGACTGCAGGAATTAAAACAAATGAACGCCACGGATATTGAATGGGGCCTTTGGACCTGTCGGATAACTTAGCCAAAACCAAGCATAATAAATACTAACCGAGATGTCTTCTTTGTTCTCAACTAAGGGCCTGAGCTCTTTCAAGATTGCGTCCGCCTTACAAACAGAGAAAAAATCCGGTAAGAAAGATTGAACCTCCCACAAAGACATCTGAACGAAGCATTGTCCACAAAGACAGCTTACAGCGAAGAAAGGATTCATAATTGAAAGCCAAACACAGCGATCTGAACTAACCCTTTCCCAATCACCGGCCATTACACTCTCACGGAACATAGCCGCTGATGGGTGCTCTAGTCTACAGCCCGATTCCTGCATAAGGACATCGACTGATTTGCTGGGGGATAAAATAAAATAAACATCAATCGTATACGCCACGCAACAGGAAACCAACAACGAAGTTAGGTGCCAATGAAATTGCGTCTTCTACGATTCCATATTTCTAACGCGACTCACTTCAAGCCCAAGCCTTGCAAATGCTGGACTATTAGCCGTACGACATCTTCGTCGCTTCTAGGAACAATTTTCCTTTTAAGATGGCCTTTGCTGTCTCCATTGGCTATACATTCACCATTAGAGGTACTTGTTTCGCCATCACTTCCACTAGAAGTCCGTTTCGATTTGTGCATATCGGACTCGAGGTCCACTGAAAGGCGCGCCCTTTTTTGCGGTGGTGGAGACAGTCCACCTTGCTGTTCGTCGTCAGACGAGGCCAGGGTAGCTGAAGACCACGAGGATAGCCAGTTTTGAACAAATTTCTAGGTAGAAGTAGCGAACAAACGACAGCAAACCTGGACAGCAACACAAAGCTAATCACTCACTACAAACTTTCCTTCATATTGTGAACTGACGTCATCGAAGTCAACATTGAGGGGACTGGGTTCTAACAAAACAATTGCCATATTTGGATAATGTCATATTGTCGGTTCGCTAGGTCTCACAAAGAGAGAGGTTACTATAGCAACTGTAACGTCGACAATCACATGTAAAAAGTATGCTCCCTAAATATATTGAATTTCCTCATGAAATGAGAAAAAAAATGTATTCGTTACAAAGATATCATGACAGCTACGATAAAACTTACATTTTATACAATATGCGTAGGATAGAGAGGGCGGGCAGAAAAATCTTCTACAATATACAACACGGCAGGCAAAAGCAGCATATCTGAAGATTCATAGTACCGAAATACAATCTGCGTCCATCCTAAGCCCATTTCTGGTGTCAAGGAGTCAAAATCATTACTAGTTGTCTTTTCTTTACGCGTAAATTAGACTCCTCGATCACCTTCGTGAAAATGATAATTTTGTCTGATCATCTTAATTTATAATGTAAATTGGATTAAGAAAATCTCTACGGTGGCCAATTTACATTATCAACTCAGCTGATGAAATCAAAATTTTTGGTTTTTATTACTTTTCAACGACGCAGCACCGCACCGCATGTTCATGGAAAAGAGGCTAGTTTCTCGACTGTCATGAAAGAGAGGCTATTCTTACCCAGATCTCACGCTGATGCCTATGGCCTAATCCAATATGGCTTCCGTAGGCTGCCGCAACATCAGCCGGTTATTTCATCGCATACGGCTTTATAGAAGTTATACCACAAACATTTCTGTAAGTGTAAATTTAGATTACCAGGTAAAGATCATATCACCTTCCTAAAGTTTATCTTTTATCTCCAAAGCGACAGTTTATTCGATGCGGATTTCGGCAAAGTGCAAGTAGGCTACAAAATACAGGTCGGTGGTGTGGTGCCTTAAATTGATTGAAAATTTTCGTGTTTCTTGTGTGTTGCACTTGTCTTTAAATGACTTAACCTTGTATCTTTAGCGACTAAGATTCAAGCCGCAGGAATCTTGGGTGGAAATAGTCAGCGAACGTGAGTGTAGAATAATTTTACTAACTATGAACCCTAAGTTTGACTTATTTCGCGTGCATGCACTCTCTAAATTAGGATAAACCGAGGCTTGATAATCCGTGTATTAGATATAACTTTGTTATTACAAGGAAACTGCCTCGAGTGAAAAGGCTGTCACTTCAGATCTTAGTATTTTAGCGTGTAAAATATTGTAGAGGTATTTAGTGGTAATACACTATTGTACATAATCAAAGTCCACTCCTACTTCTGCTGAGAGGGACTGGGCTTTGATGCTCACAACCGACACAAATTTTGATCTGTAAGAATTCCATCAATATTGTGCTTTTATCTGTCAAATTGGAGATTTGTTTTCCTTTGGCCTTTTGGAAAATATCATACTTGTCGCCCCCATTTCCGCATATGGCTTTGTCTTGAAGAAAGTGCTGCTCTCTTTTTGTTCCTATTTTTGGAACAAGGTCATAAGTCAACTTATTTTAATGCCCCTGCATTAGCTGCCAAAAGAATAGGCAAATGTTGGTCATGGCCAATTCATTCCTTAAGATTTTTTTATCTCTATATCTTATATCTACAGGCTACTTGGTTGGAAGGAAAATAAATACTTTCATTCATCCTCAAACCTTTGTAAGTGTTGTTAGAAAACTGTTCTTATGTATATGTGCACAGGAAGGTAAAATTTCTTGAAAAATGTTACAACGACTTAAGATTTCAGCCTCTTGAACGAGTTGTACCCTATTTAGCAATAATTGTACCTAACATCTGCATGCATATTTTTCCATACTGTTCTCCATATATTTCCTTAGGTGCTGACTAGGAGAATTTTTTTAACAATGAAGAGCTTTTTTAGATGGTGATCATTCCTTTATTCTTGTGGCCTCAGTGTGTGTGATTCAGCAGTGATATTGTAAGGAGAATTTAGATTCCAGTCACTTGTAGGGGTCATTATGTTAGTGAGCACTATTCCTTAGTCTTGTACTAAAAGTTTTTGTTTCATTTGTAGAAAATGGTGTTATTCTACTAGTTACTTTGGTACTCAGGATGTATAAGTAGTTGGCTCCATAGAATTATCAGGCAGGATGTTGAATTGTTTTTATTCTTTTGTTTGGTTAAATTCTTACAGACTCTGAGAACTACATAATAGTGAATACACCACCATTTGCCGAGTCAGTTACGGAGGGAGATGTCAGATGGGATAAAGGTATGTCATAGAAAGTGAGGTGCAATTTGTGATTACATGGCACTGCTTAAAGCCAATCAGATTGCAAGGATCATTCATTTGGTGATTTCAAAATGGATATAAAAAGAATGAGTATTTCATGGATCTCTTTTTTGACAGCTGTTGGAGATACTGTTGCTGAAGATGAGGTTGTTGGAGAAATTGAAACAGACAAGGTAAAGTAATGTGGAAATATGATTATAATGTAAATATGCAATAATATTCTTGTAGTTGTAGAGTGTAACACATAAATCAGCCAAACAAGCATGCCAGTAATTAGCAAGCAATGAACCTACTGTACCTTCTACTTAAAAAAAAAAAACATACAATAGTGAATAAACAATCAAACAAATGTAACATTTTTCACTGGCATGTGATTTATGTTAAAGAGGGCAGGGTTTTCCAATAGAACACTTTACCAACCACTGCTCGGCTGACTAGACATCACCAGACCTCTTGGAGTGAGTTTCAAGTTTAAATTGTAATGTTAAATCACATTTTCCCTCTGATTTAAGACCAGTATACCAGTAAGTGCCCCTTCAGCTGGAACAATTGCAGAGTTCTTTGTCAATGATGGTGATAAAGTGGAGAAAGGTCAACAGCTGTTTAAACTTGCTCTTACAGGTATAAGTTCTACTCTTAAATGTCCTCATCTTACAATCCATTGTATGAGTGCTGTTTGTAGTCAATTTGCTTGAGAACCTAAACATGTTGGCTAGCCCATTTTTTTAGAGGAGATGTTGTCCTCCAAGACCAAGAGTATTAGTAGCATCAGAATGTCATGATTAACCACACTGTTTTGGAGTTAACTTTTTTACAAGTAAATTTACTTGAAATCTATTTCCAGGGGATGCCCCTCCAAAGGAGACAACAACAGAAAGTAAGCCTGCAGCTGAGAGTCCAGCACCAGCAAAGGAGATTCCAAAAGAGGAACCATCTGCACCAGCTTTTAAGATCCCTACCACTCCTCCCCCAGGTACAAACACTGTAGGCTTCCTTTGCGAGAAGTGACTAGCTTATAACTCATCAAAATTGTAACAGATTTTCTAGCTTACCAGCAGGTAAAGAGAGTAGACCAAGTAATCAAGTATTGGGTAAAGTTTTGATATGACACTCCATTCTTGAGAACAATTGGCAAGAAATGTGTAGCAACTGCTGTAAAAGGGAAATAATTATTGCTAGGTAGATCTAGCAAGTTGAAAGTTCAAAAGGACATCTCATGTCAGTGAGCAGGGTTCGATCAGATGAGAGGCTTATTTCCTCAATGAATAATGTTGAAATTGAAAGATTAGGTGTGCAACCACATAAAGTTAAATATTAGGCAGCTTGTTGTATTACCCAGGGTAACCTTCTGACTAAAATGTTTGATTTCTTCTTGGCTAACCGCACACTGAAAACAAATTGCTTTTGTTCATCTGAGAGCTCTGTGACTGAATGCTTCCAGTAAAGAGTAGGTTATAGACTAATTGTCAAACTGCAATTTTATTGTTATTTTGCAATTTCAGCTCCTGCAGTACCAACCCAACCAATTGCAGAAATCAAACCTGGCCCCCCTACCCCTGCCTCTCCCCCACAGCCAACAGATGCTCTTCCAGCTGACATTCTACCCAAAGGAGCCCGCTCTCAACATAAGGTATCATAGTTAAACTTTGAACTTGTATTGGGTGCCTCCTTATAAGCTAGTACCCTATTTTTTTTTTTTTTCTTTTGGTACCAAAAATTTGGACTTTATGAGAAAGCAAAACCCCAACACATCCCTTTCAGTGCCCTGTCGTCAGATTTAACCATTAAACCCCTAAGAGTGATAAGCATTTTATTTCTCTATGCAATATCACCCTGAATCAAGCACAAGAATAAGGGAAATGATCACTTATTAAAGAAGCTTTTGATTGTCTTAACAAATTACTTAATATGCATACTGATGTTAGGGTGTAAAGGGTTTTAAGACTTTTTTGGATTTGAAGCTTGTATCTCAAGGGAATGTTGAAAGAGAGGGGAATAGGAGTGCTTATAGAGTAATTAAACGGAGTTTTTCACAAATTTGTTTACATGTAGGCAAGGATGACAAGAATGCGTCAGAGGATTGCTCAGAGACTTAAAGATTCACAGAACACTTATGCGATGTTAACAACATTTAATGAAGTCGATATGAGGTTGGTAGATATATTTTCTATGGCTGCTGCAGTACCAAATAAATGTCATCAATTGATAATGGGTCTTTATCTTTTTTCCCCCGTACTGCAATATCACTAAACAGCAACTTAACAGGCTAATTATATTCCCATCTTTGACTTACAGTGTTGTCATTAATAACTTTTCACTTTTCATGTGGTTTAGAAACAATGCGTCATATTTGTTTTCATTCTTTTACTTGTTTGTTCTTTCCTTCCCTCCAGTCATGTCTCTGAGATGCGGAAAAAGCACAAAGATGCATTTGTCAAGAAGCATGGTGTCAAACTGGGATTCATGTCTGCCTTTATCAAAGCATCCGCTCATGCCTTGCAGAGTGAGCCAACAGTGAATGCTGGTCAGTTGGTTATCTGATTCTCCCATCTACCTTCTTGTTTATTCAGTTTATCGTGTATTGTAAACAATAATCTCTCGAGTGCACATTGAATATGAGATGATAGACAGCCAAGGAGGCCCATGGGCTGTGTTGGATATTTATCATCTTATATCCAACAAGGGGTATATACATTTTCCCAACTTTACCTTATTTTGTAAGAACTAATAGCATGTTACAATGTACAAAAACACTTCCAGTTTAACTTGTCTTTATGCGTGCAGATGGTTTAGTGGCTCATAACCCATGATAGCTAAGCCAATAAAAACTCTGGAATTGCATTATCCAATGATCCAATTTTTGATAGAAGGAAGTATAGCATGAGCCAGAATTGGACTAGGATTCTGACAGCTCTGTAAGCAATTTTTACTGATATTTTCCTTAGAAATTATTACTGGAACAGTTTAACCCCTTAGCTCCGATGAGTGACCAAGACAGAATTTCTTCTTAATAATTGTCAATACAATATCAAGCAGACAAGTGACGAGAATATGACGATTATTAGTTGATCCAACACCAATTTCTCTAAACAAACATCATAAGAATTGTATGACAGACAGTAAGGAGAATTACTGATGAGATCTTTATTGTGAGATGTTATGAGATCTTGTGAGTTAAAGGTTAACTGATGAGAAGGATGGTGAGAACTTTGCATGCTGGGTAATCATGGTCTTCTTTTCATTTTTCTTGTAGTGATTGAAAACAACGAGATTGTATACAGAGATTATGTGGACATAAGTGTTGCAGTGGCCACGCCTAAGGTCTGTATAACTTCTGGAAAAGGCATTTTATTTTACCTTGCATTGTATTTAACTTGAAACAAAAGCGCTACAGCAGGCTGCATGAGTTAATTCATCAAATTTGATTGATTGAAATTCAAGCAAAATTACTGAAGGACAAGAGACGATGCAGCGATGCTTTTATTTTACTCTTTTACAGGGACTTGTTGTGCCGGTAATTAGAAACGTAGAAGAAATGAACTACGCCGACATCGAAAAAGCGATCAATGCAATGGGAGAGAAGGTACATATATGTGTTATTCTTAGAAGCACCTACTTATCACGTCCCTTTCTACTGGAACGTTAGGCCACGTTCGGTATCAGTCACGGAATCCTGAGCTGTGTTTCTTCCTGTACATCATCCCTTCCTTCCTTCCATCCTACCTTCTTTTCATGCTTTTTCTTTCTCAAACAGGTATTGTGAGTACATAATTATGAAAGCTATGGCTCGCTCGACCAATTCTGACCTGTTCGGTTTCTTGAAGCTTGTGTCCATCTCTTCACGGACTTAATTTAAATGAACTGTTTGTATCAATCAGTTCCGGTTTCCCCTCCACTATTGTCATCGTATTTTTCTAACGAGCCAAAGCTTTTACAATGCGTTTAAGAATCACGAAACCATCATTTCAGAAGCAGTTCATTCCGTCTCCGAAAATCAGAGGCTCTGACATGCTATTTTTCAATAAACTTGAGGTCCGAATCAAAAGAACATAGCTGCATCCCTTTATTTTTTGTCTCCAGGCACGAGCAAACGAACTGGCAATCGAAGACATGGACGGAGGAACATTCACCATCTCTAATGGCGGAGTATTTGGTTCCATGATGGGCACACCCATTATTAACCCGCCCCAGTCTGCCATCCTGGGCATGCACGCCATTGTTGACAGACCGGTGGCTATAAATGGAAAGGTTAGTGGCCTGGTAATCAATCTGTAATGAAAACTGATCAGATTTATCAGCTTAAATTCTGTTAACTTTTCTCGCCAACGGAAGTTCAGCGTTTCTTTAGAAATTATCGGCCACCACATTGAAAAGGAGCCTCTATCTTTCAAATAAACCCTCAGGAAAAAGACAAGTTAGCCTGTATCCTTCTATTTATTGAGCGCCCCAGGAATTGGAAGGGGGGGGTCACTTGGATACGAAAAAAAGATTACAGAAAAATATCATTTATTTGTTTTACAGCTCTCTCTCTCTTGAAGTGAATAGAAAGATATGTGGTAACGGTAACTTATAGACGTACCACGTATGGCGCTTGTGGGTTGTAGACTCCTATTTGGGGTACTCTGCCCAGAATGCGATTAAACCTTACACTCCCACGAGTAACCCAAGGAGACACTCTCTTTGCGGTATCACTAGAGGGAAATGTATTAGAAACGCATGGCAGAAAGTGTGGAGAATTGACCTTTGGGTTTTATTTCAGGTTGAGATTCGTCCCATGATGTACTTAGCCCTCACTTATGACCATCGTTTGATAGACGGCAGAGAAGCAGTAACATTCCTTAGGAAGATCAAAGCTTCGGTTGAAGATCCTCACACGTTACTGTTGGACTTGTGATCTCCTGGCTGATCATGCTGGGAAATTTATAGTGGACAGGACACTTATCAGTTTTAGTCGATGTCAAGTTTATGGCCAGCCTTGGTCAGAGAAATGTTTATGAATGTCGGTATTGTCACCTGTACTCGATGTGATAGAAAAGAGTCAGTTATCAATGGGGTTTTTAAATTGATATTCATTATTCAGTGCGACTGTTCTATTACGTCAAACTCACCTGTTTTGGACTTATTGTCACGAAAAATACATCCGTGTTTTTTTTTAAGTTTTCATTGCAGCCATTACATTTGTCTCGTGGCGCAACGCGCTCTCTCCCCCTGGTGGGGAAGAGAGCGCATTTCGTGACGAGACCAAAAAATGGCTGCATATGAGTGATATTCTTACCAAGTGGTGAAAAGTTTGCCATTTGCCAGTGAAGAGTAACGTTTGCCGAATTGTTTCTTGAAGTTGTTCATCTGTCATGTTTTAGTGATATCAAATAAAAAAATCCACCTAAAACTTTAAAACTTGGGGTTAAGTCCTGTTTAACTATAATTTAATTATCAACGCAGGTCTAGATATTAGCCGGGTTCTTTTTTCGCGTTTTTATGGACCGAAACGAAGTCGACGTCCATTTCTCCACCTTAAGATAACACATAATTTTCTACAACTTATTATACTGAAACCGTAGCTTGGAAGTATGCTCTCCTGCTTAAGCGCTGGGGCACGAGCAGTGAAGTTCGCTAGATTCGAGCTGGCAAGCGAAATAAGAGTGCGAGAGATCTGTGGGGTAGGGTAAGGTGGATAAATTATGCTGGCATGTGACAGAAAACGGAAACAAGTCATTGCTTAATCAAATCTAGTGGCATTTCGGGTTCTCAGCCTAAACGTTTGTTGTAAGGAACTCTAATTTCATGTTTCGCCAATCGAATCATTTGCAACAGATATCAAACTTTCGCCACGCTGAGGCATGTTTTCCGTTTATAGCCCGTTACAAAATGTCTTAGTCTTTGATCTAAACTAAGGGAAGATTCCTTTGAAACGCTCCCAGAATTTCTTCTGCTCCAGCTCCACACATAATAATTAAAATATTATAATCCTAGACAATTATCACTCTAACCAATTGTAATTATTTTTCGTTGAACTCTTCCATTACTTGTGGGTAGAAAAACTGTCATCCTCCATGGAAGAGATCAGCTGGTCTGCGCTTTCCTTTGTGTTGGTGAAGCAAAGTGTTACTCGTTCAACATAGCCTCGTATCCTGACTGCAAAAAAACAATATCTGTGTGATCTGTGGGACACTGACAAGTACCAAGAAACTAAAAGTTTCATCATTACAGTCCGCTGGTCAGAGGTCTTTTGCCAGATTTCTTTTTTTCTTTCTTTCTTTCTTTTTCTTTTTTCTAGTTTCTATTTTTTCTGAAAGAGATCAAGACAAAATACTGTTGTCAAGAGATATTTCCTTAACTTTTAGTCTCCATGTGAAAGTACTCCTTACAAGGAAGGTGCTCTCTGTGTTCCTGAATATGAATAGAACTCCTATCACCGTGACAGTAAGCCTGGATTCTGTGGAACTTACGGTTCTTAACCTCCACACAGATCACGGACACCTTAAGATCGCTTCGATGGCTAGATGTTAAACAAAGACGTAAGTTACATGGTCATAAATGTCTTAATCTTCTGTCACTTAGCCACTTATCAAATCAATTTTGTTCACCGCCGTCTACTACCCATAGCAGAAAGACGAAGCAAAGCCTTCATATTTCACCTTACAAAGTTTCCGCCGGTCAGTGCACCTTTATCCATTATCGCGGTGTAAAAATATGAAACAGCCTGAACAAGGATTTAGAACAAATAACTGTATCTCCAAAGTTTTTAAAAAAGGTTTAATTAATCTATTAATGTGCAATGTAAAGTAGATTTGGACGTATCATTGCAAATGGTTTTTCTGATTTTTTTTGGTGATCTAGTTTTTTTCTGTAATTCATGCTGGTGCTGGAAGAGCTCGTCAGGGAATGACGCTTAAGAAAGCATAAACTATGCATGTGTATATGCTTGAGTGCGTATGTGACCCCTCATAAAGTGACTAACCCCAAAGGTTCTAAAGATAAAGAGCAGACTTATCACAATTGCGACAGCTTTCGTAACACAACCTTTTTAATACCGTACATCAATTGTAGAAAGTCTTTATTCTCTGTCTCGCTTTTCATGAATGGAATCTTCTTTTGAACAAAAGAATACCTCGGATGATGGCTTAACGGCTAACGGTTAAGGTTTTGGCCACTTTACGGCTAACGATTAATTCATTTCGTTATACAAAGCTAACAACAATATTTTTAAGGTTAACTTTATTTAGGACTAACGGTAAACGCAAGTAAGACTGTCTTAACCATTATCTTGACCTCGCGACTGAGCAATAAGGCGTCTACATCACGACGTTTCCCATAAAAAGAAGGTACTAGGTTTGAGTGGTTATATTACGACCCATTCAAGGAGGTTCATTTCAAAATATTTTGTTTGCAGAAGGCAACGTTTGAGTAACAATATACCGACAATGTTTTTCCTTCAATGAAAACACTTGTTCTAAAAAGTAAATTCTAGTTTAACCGGTTCTTCAGGATCCGTTGTGACGCATCCGTCGCAACATAAAAGTTGGTTCCGACATTTTTATACAAAGCAGCCAGTCCCTCAGGAATAAACAAAGTTGTTTCTAGTAGTACAACTCTGGTAGTCGATTGAGCTTGTGTTAATTATACTGATGATCAAAATTTTAAAACAGAGCGCAAATTGAAAGACGTAAGGTGTCATTTCTTAATGAAGTGGTATTCATGCGTAACGTTAACGCTTTGAAATGTTACGTAACAAAGCCGTACATTTTTCAATTGTGCATGTAATGCAGAGAAACTTTCGTTGAATTTTCGAAAAATATGCATAAAAAAAAAGGTCAAGAAAGGTAACTTGCTCGCAAGAGAGATCTCACTCCATTGTACTGGTACTACCGTATTTATTCTCTAATAACCTAGCTGAGAGCCTAAACTTTAGAGATTTAATGATAGGCCTAAGCTTGTTCAAAAGCTCTTACACATCCTAGGTTTCTTAGCAAGAGTTCATCTTTGGTTGCTGAATCGAAAGAGATCTTCTGAAAGCGCATCTAGTGAGAAACATGTTTTGGTCATTGAATGAATAAACACAACCAAATAAATATTCAAACGTTTATTGAAACAACAAGCAAATCAGCTGGATTGTGAATATTAATTGAACTTTTTGCAATATGGTAATTACTCGCGTTTTTCCATTTTTTTACAGTACATCTTGCAGTAGCCTGAAACAAGGATTTTTGAATTAAAACCTGAAGAAAATAGCCGTTCAGAAAGTATCGAGTATATGGAACAACTTGATACATGATAACAAAACTTCTTGTTGTTTCCAAGGTCCGTGATAATTAGCATCCTTGCGTAACGGCTTTGTCCACGATTGATTACGCTGTAGGCAAAGATTTTTAAAGTAAAATGGGAAGAAAATAAAACTCGAAAGTTGGAAAGCATCAAGCATATGGAATAATTTGATGCATAACTTTTTAAAAGAACTCGCAATTTCAAACGGCATCGACTAAAAACGTTCCTCGATCAATTTCATCAAAGTTATGTAGCAGAGCTTTACTGGTCACCAAGCTTGTGTAAAAGCAAAAGACAATTATACCTGAGTATATTGAGCTTGTGCATTGATTAAAAAATAATAGAAAAAAAGCCTGCCATCGGTATGCGACACGTTCATTTCCAAGGGGCTACGGGCAATGTTATGCCAAGTGCAGAATAGACGGTGCAATACTGAGGAATCACCTTGCGCAATATTTGATGGATCAGAGAGAATTTACACCCTTAGAATATAATTTAATTGCATATTACATAAGATACAGTAGGTTTATGAGCACAATGTAGTCACAACGCGCGTAGTACCAGGGGTATTTTATAAACATCGTTATATCGTTAGCCTAGCTATCTGGTAAGGCTCCTTGTTGGAAATAGGCAAGGTGCTGCAACTGTTTCGCCAAGTTCGTCCACCGTACTACGATTACCGCAGCGAATGATGCAATCGTCTCACAAGACTGATTCAATTCAACCCGATCTTTACCAGCATGGTTAACATCGAGCATAATCGTTTCAATTGAATATTCTTTTGTTTGAGTAAATTTATTCCTATAATTACGAACATTTTGACGACAATGCTCTGGTTGCGAAATTTCAAGAATTTCGAACAGCCCCGGGGAATAATGATAATTGTTTATTTCCTTTGTTGCCTTCGTACCCGTTATTTTAGTAAGCACTCGTGCAGTCTGGACGTTGTGGTTGTTGTTAGACCGGTGCAACAACTAGAAACTCGAGCCAGGTCAAACAATTTACGATTCGAATCATGCCGTTATTACAAAAAATATCATGGTTTTTTACTGGAGAACGTTCTCAAGATGGTAGATGGTCATGGTTTGTATGTATTTCTGCAGCAATTGTAAATGGTGTGAATCTTGGTTTTGTGCTTAGCTTTGGGGTCCTTTTCCCAGAGCTGATGGAATACTTTGGAGAGACCAGGGAAAGAACAGGTGAGTTGAGATACTTGAACGAAATCAATTTAATCCTTTCTGAAAGCGCTTTTTTGTCGGAAACAATAAAATGGCCGAACAACGGAAGAGTAAATACCAGGCACTCTTGAAAATCTCTATCAATCTATGATATTTCGCCATATTTTTTGCGTTTTGTTTGGAAATACAAATCAGTGTCTAAAAAGCACTGAAAAGCCGTGTTGAAATCTCTTCGTAGCAGCTCAATGGGTGTTTTGGCATCAACGGCCTTCTGCGACAAATTGCCATTTGCAAACTGGCATCTAAATTGTAATATTCAGACCCCTCTTGCCAGGTTTTACTTCATCAAAATTTCGACTCACAACAGGTCACTTTATTTCTGAATTTTTAGAGGGAACTTAACTTTGTCAGTAACTGATTCAATGAACGCAGATACCTTTCCATTTGTGATGTCTGATTTGTCTTTAAAACATTACTCCAACATTTAATTTGATGTTGTGCGACGTGGAACCAAGATGTTATCAAAATAAGCAAAGCAGACCGTTTTAATTCAACCAATAAGGAAATAGGAGCAAACTTCTCAAAAATAAGAGTGAGGCAGGTCGATCCTTACGCATAAACTACAATTTAACATATATTTTTTTTGAGTCTGAATTTCTCTATTTCCTAAAATTGGTTCAGGGATCAAATTCTCGCTTTCCATGCATCACTCAAACTCAGTTTATTTCCATGTATCATCTTCCAAATTAGCTGCTAAACTTGTGTCTTGATGACCTAAACTATTGCAGTAGAGTCTCACTGGGAGTAGCTTTGAAGGTTATCTGTGAGGTCTTTGACGGTTGACGATTAATAAGTAGATAGAAGATTTCTTCAACGAGTTAAAATCAGAACAATTATTTTTATTTTTCAATATTAATTACAAATGTTATTCAAACTTATTCAGTGTATGAAGTGAAATAAAGCGTCGTTTGAATATATTATATATTATATTATTATTATATAATTATATATTATTATATATTATTGTATTAACTAAAGGCCTAATCAAACCCGCGCAACATTTCAACGCAGCATCTTGCAACCTCAATGGATCGTGCTGCGAGATAATGTGAAGGAGCTGGCCAAACGTGCGCAACATCTGGCAACATTCAAAAGTGTTTCAACAAAAATTTTACCATTTTCAAACTTGTTCCACCACCATGCAACATCTTGCAACATGTTGTTACAGGGTAGCCAAGCGTGTACAACACGTTGAGCGCAACAGTGTTGAAAGAATTGTTTAAAAGATATTACGCTGAAATGTTGCATGGCCGGGCCTTAACGAACAAGCTCAGCAAAGCCTTGCTGATATTCTACCAGCCCTGATCATTGTAAGTTCGACGCCAAATGAACGACCCGACCCAGACCTCCCTGTTTTTTTGCCCCACCGCTACTCTCGTCTCTTTATATTAACTGAATGTTTGGAACAGCCTAGAATCACAGCGGTTATATGAGAATTCGAGAATCCCTATCCACTCTTTCTTATATCGTCTACTTTGCAGCGAAGTTCGCCGCTCAATGTCAGCGCGCCGCGCGGAATTCTGGGAGTGTTTCTTTTTTTTTTTTTTAATTATTATTCGCGTATGAAAAATGGTTTTTCGTTTATCAGATGCCAGTAACATGGTCTTCTTTCCATTCTTATCAGCTTTAGTCGGCTCAATTGCAGTGGGAATGGTTTGGCTTGCAAGTCCGCTGGTCGGTTATTTCTGTGATCGCTTTGGTTGTCGGGTCACGTGTTTCGTAGGAGGCACGCTATGCATGGCTGGCCTTGTGTCGACGTCATTTGTTCCAAACCTCACTTGGATGTACTGTACGTATAGCGCAGTGTATGGTTTGGGAACATGCTTCATCTACAACCCTTGCTTTCTTATAATTGCCAAGTACTTCATGGAGAAGCTATCCATTGCAACTGGGATTGTTTCGCTGGGTTCGAGTCTGGGTTACCTGTGCACTGGACCTTTGCTACAAGCACTATTGGACGCATATGGATGGAGGGACACTTTCAGAATAATGGTGGCGACATTCGCTCTTGTTTGCATCTTGAGTTTGACATTTAACCCCAACGTACAAGGCATAACAGTAGTAGAAACATTTACCCCTGAAAAGGATAACAATCGAGCTCAAACAGTAAAGAGGAACGCACTCTTTTTTTATTGCAGCGTGTGGGTCTTTCCTGCTTACACTGTGTTCGTTGTTTCACTCGTACTTGCCAGTTTTTCGATGTATATTCCCTTCATCAATCTGGTAAGACTATGATTTGATACAAGATAGAGCGACTTGGGAGGTTGGGAGAGCACGAGATAAGCTGGAAACCACTCCGCTTCGCGTCATGGTTTCCTACGCTTATCTCGTGTTCTCCCAACCTCCCGCATGTTTACATCAGGCTATGTAAACACGGAAACCATTTTACATTTCTTCAATGAAATTGTATTCTATTGTGGTAAAATAAATTCAGGTGAAGCCCGGAAAAAGGTTTTTGACAAAACTAGCCCTAGGCCTGCAACTGATTGGATCAGGTGCAACCATTTGTTTTCCGACAATACCAGACATTAGTAAAGCAAATTGAAGGCTTTACTCTCTGAATATTGTTAGAACAATTTTCAATTAAGTGTCGAAAGTAATCGATATTGCATTGGTTTCACTTCACTGACTTCGCTCTGTGATGGTCCAGAAAGCTCGCGTCACTCCCTCAACCAATCAGATTTAACACTAAAACTAATCACGACATGGTCGCCCGCGTATTCCCGCGCTTTAGGCGGTTTGTTTGCCTTTAATTTGAGTTCTCATCATGCATGCTCCAAGGATAGCCTTGCCATTTGTTCGGCTTATGCAACATTTCTGTTTTTAAACTAGGTCAAGTTTAGCGAAGATGTCGGAATATCTCCACAAAAAGCCTCCCGACTGTCCATCTTCATCGGCCTTGCTTCAGCCGTTGGACGAATCACAACAGGGAGATTGTGCAATGATAAAAGAGTAAATCCAGTTTACATTTATCAAGCGTGTTTGGTTACCGCTGCTCTTGCCACATCGATACTGCCAATGGCAAAGGAATACTGGCAAATTATAATTTTCAGCGCAACTTTTGGATTAAGTGAAGGTGTATTCATAACAACCCAGAATTTCATTTTATTGACCTGTGTGGACAAAAAACGAAGGACTGCAGCTTTCTGTATCAACAACCTGCTATATGCCTTTACTGCAGCAGCCGGCGGACCCGTTGCCGGTAAGTGAATCAATGAACCTAAAGAAGATGGGTTTAGAAGTCTTGAGATAATTTCTTAACCAACCAGAATGAGAAATACAGCCAATTTTTTGGTTTTTCGTTTACACTAGCTTACAAATGTAGCCGTTGTTTCCTTGTGTTTGGTTAGTACTTCAGCTTTTTCGATTTATTCTCTTAACCCTTAACTCTCGAGTTTTGATTGTTAATTCTCCCATCTAGCTGCTACACACTTCCATGTAAATAAGTAACGAGAATTTGCGTTTAGAGCAAGTGAACAACTTCTACCAGATATCTTTGAGTATTTTCGTTACCTGTTTGCTGGATGATGAACGGATATCATAATGAGAAATTACCTATTTATCACTTCTGTGAGTTAAAGGGTTACAGTTCCTCAATCTTAGAAAGGAGAAAAATGAAGTGCGTTGTTCTCCTCCTAGTTTAAGTATCGTCTACTTCGGAGAAAAAAGGAAAATCTTTTACGCTCAGCTAATGTGGGCAAATGCACTAGTTTGTTTATAAATGTTGTTATTATACATTAGGGTTACTATGCAAGCTCTGATTGGTCGAGAGCATACATTCATGTACAATAGCGTATGAGGTTGACATGATAATCCAATATCTGCAGCAGGTGTTGGGTTATCATGTCGAGTTCTAAGTCTGCCTAGTTTCCAAGCTCTTCGTCCGTGTAGTACTCTCAAACCTTTGCGAACTCAGAGAGAAGTGCCTCTTTTGGCGATTGTTAAAAAAATTTATGATGAAACAATTACTGAATTCGGTTTCGATAATTCATGATATCCTGCTCAATCTCATCCAATAATTGCTCTTTATTTCCTATACAGCCCTGATGGCTGACAAGACAGGGGACTATACCTATTCATTCTACATGACCGGAGGAGTGTTAATAACTGCAGCCTTGATACCATTGATTTTGATTTGCGTAAACCGTGGGAAGTCGAAGGTCGTCCCCGAGGAATCAGAAATAGAAGAGAAGAAAGACAACTTTGAAAGAGTGTCCATAGCAATTCAAACTCTCGATGAAACGGAAGTATTGGGAAAAGAACTGCGCACAGAGTCCTTGTCAAGAAAGCGCGCTGCAAGCGCATTTCTCTGAAAGACGTAAAATATAATAAAAACGTTTGTTCTTTTCTGGTTAAGCTTCCAAGAAGCTACGGCCCTCAATCCGTCTAAGAGGTTGCCGAATTGTTGTGTTTCGAGTTTTTGACACGCCTTACTGTTCTTCTTTCCTCAAATGATAAGTTTTTCTGTTACACAGCACAGTATCAAAATTTAGAAGTAAATTTCTTGCGATTTTCAAGAATATGGCCAATGATAAATAGTATGCTACATCGATGTCCAATAAAACTCGTTCAATGCCAAAGAGACAGTACTGTTCTCGTCAATACTTTTTTGCTTGTCTTGACAATTTTTTTTTTCAGTCGAATCATGTATGCAATTAAAGTACTTCTCCCTCGAGCAAAAACAAAAATGTTCAATGCTGAATTTGCTTTTGTTCTCAGCAGTGACAGCGGCAAAATGAGTGTGCATGCTTGTAAATTTTTACAAGCACAAAGAAATGGGATCGACACTATTTTTGCGGGAAAATGGCGACTTTTTTAAAATTCCTATTGTTTGTTTTAATTTTGCGAGGATACGTTTAAACCAAAACAGATAAGGAGGCTGTTTTTAGGAAAGTTTCTGCCGACTCCACAGTCGCATATTTCACATAGCAATAAAATATTGCGGTAAGAGGTGTGAATTTAGGGACTGAAGTGGTGCATCCGTAACATGGCAACGAAGTTCGTAGCAACAGCTACTATAACTTACAGAATGCTACTTATTCTATGGACTTTTCCACAAGAACAAGCTCCATTAAATTATCCACTTGGTCCTCAGCAATAACAGTCCAAGGAAAGTGTATGATAACGTTCTGTTCGTGAATCAATGAAATTCAGTCACGCTGGAGTCACAAAACGCTCTCCGAACGCGTATATCTCCCGAGCATGCACACTCATTTTGCCGCTGCGTTCTTAGCAGTCACAACGTTCGCACATGCGTAGACCTTTGACCTCTGTGCTGGAGGTTACCGGTCGTTTCGTACCCACGGTCGTCTCGTACCCAGTCGTTCCCTACCCAGTTAGGTCGTTTCGTACCCAAACTAATAAAGTACGTTTTCCATGTTAAAATTGGAGAAAAATATCACACTTACACTAGCCGCTGTCGTTAAAAAAATTCACAGGTAAAAACGATAGACTTTTCTATTTAAAATATCATACTTACCTTGCACTAAGCGATAATTCAGTTTTTTTTTAAGGTCACAATTATACACAACATAATTTTGTTTGTATCTTAATAGCTTTACTCTGCTAACATGTCGTATCCACCCATTGACATCTTTTCACGCGCTCGCGGGTGAGGTATGTTGAATAAATGTATGACTCAATTAGCAGTTTGGCCACGAACCGACTCAAACTTGGGTACGAGTCGACTGCATTTGGGTACAAACGACTGTGGGTACGAAACGACCGGATACCGCGCGCGAACTGGAGATTACTGACTGATTAATGACCAATCACGCGCGCGTATTATCTGAGAGCTACAGTTTAAGTTAATAGCAGGTCTGTAATTCTTTGTAAGACACAGTGGCGTCTGGTTTC